TTTGATAATTGAAATTATGAAATGAATAATTATGGGATACTCGATTCGTAGAGTTGTGAAAGTGAGTCTTGGGACTCGGTTATGATTATTGGAAATAAGTGGTGTGATTTTGTGAATGGAAGTATTACATAAGAATGTAATGGTTTATTGAAATTCATTTTATATTTATTGGTTGAATTTATTATATTTGTAAGTATTTGTGATATATGTGAGTTTTGACATATCCTAGTATCTGGAGTTATATATATATACAATACTCGAGAAAGTGCTATGTTTGTTGAATATGTGTGGGGTACTTGGGATGTGGTTGTGAGATGAGGAGAGATGTGAGATTGGAATGTTAGTTAGAGTGCTATTGGCACTACCCTAGATACCCCATGGATATAGAATATGTTTGAGAATTTATTTGCAATACTATGAATAAGTATTGTGAGAAAATTGAATTAAGGAATGGGATATTACTTTATAATATTTATATAAGGATTATAAACTCCACCATCATACGTACCTCCCCCCTTGAATGATGATATTTGGAAACAGTGGATATGGACACTGGGATACATGGAAATGGATATGTTTTGGATATACTATTCACACGTGCCGGGTTTTGGGCGTGTGGGCTTTATTGGTCATGGATCCTGGAATTTTGGGATGCCGGAAAAATTGTGGATATGGTTTGGATATGATGGAACCCTTAATTGGGTAGTCTGCGCGCGTAGGACTGTTTACAGGCGTACGGGTCTTGATTCTTCGTCCGTACGTGCTGGCTGAGAGTTAGTCCCCCAGTTGGACGGCTCGTCCCTAGCCACATAGTCCGTTTGAGGGCTGATAATTGTGAGCTAGTCAACAATCCCCTATTGGATTGTTTTCCCCAGTACACGATGTGCAACATCACATGTACCTCCCCTTGGATACTGATACATGGAAATTGTGGATATGGTCTTGGAAATGGTCTGGATATGACGGAACCCGGGGCATACCTTAACGGGGTGTCGCTGTAGACCTTTAATTGGGTAGTCTGCGCGCGTAGGGCTGTTTTCAGGCGTACGTTTCTTGATTCTTCGTCCGTACGTGCTGGCTGAGAGTTAGTCCCCCAGTTGGACAGCTCGTCCCTTGCCACATAGTCCGTTTGAGGGCTGATAATTGTGAGCTAGTCAACAATCCCCTGTTGGATTGTTTTCCCCTGGTACATGATGATGGTAAGAGGTGGGTGTGTTTATGTGGTGAGAGGTGGGTGTGTTTATGTATATATATAATTATTCTTTTCTTGTTATACATATTACATATATGTATATGTGGTTTTGATTCTGGTTTGAGATTTGTGAGCCTGCACATGTATGAACGTATAAGCCCTGGATTTGGGCAGTGTTGTTTGGCGCCATACGCCTTGGATAGGGTATGGTTGCGGGATTGAACTGTTAAAAGGGGAATAATTGGATAATGTGTTTAATGTACATACGCCTTGAATAGGGTATGGTTACGAATTTGAACTGATATAAAGGAAGAGTTTGAGAATGTGTTCATTGTGTTTTTGTCGAATTTGAAATTGTGATAGATCTGAAATGTAGAGTTGGTTATGTTGTGAATGATTGTTTATTTTCGGAGTTGTGGCCGTTGAGATGAGAACTACGTGTGGCTTGATCCCTTGTCCAAGGGTACGTAGGCAGCCTGGGGTCTCATCAGGCGCAGCCGCGAAATATTATTGTGTTTAAAAGGTCTGATCGATTCTGTGTATGTGATTGCATTTCAGATGTGGTTTTCGATGTGATTGTTGGATTTGAATCAGGTTTGATGTTTTCGGTGGTATTCATAAAGTTGTTTGAGATTTTTAATTGTATTGTTTATGAAGTATCCGACTTAAGAACTTTGTTGGTTCTGTTTCGAATTATCTGAAGGCCAGAGGCCTACTATGTGATTGCATGTTGTTAATTTGTGCATGATGCCAGTTGGTGTTTTAAAATGTGTTTTATGCAGGTTGAAATTTGGGAAATGTTCAATTTACAGGGGAGACTCTACCGAAATTTCGGTAGGAACTCTCGTGCCGTAAATCCTTTTTGGGAAAAGAGGATATAGTTTCAATGAGTAGGCCTGACATCGGGTGATGTCAGGAATTCCACAGGATTCGTCTCGGATTTCGAGAAATTCGGGGCGGGTCCTGTCGTAATATATATTATTTGTATTCAATAATATGTGATAATTATGAGTATAATACGTGAATTTTGTGTATATACTCATTTTTATGTGTGTAATACGTGAATTTCATGTGTATAATTATTTAATTTTTTAATATATATTATTTATATTCAACTTAAAAGATCAGCTATACTATTTCTTTTAAAAGTATTGGGTAAAACCGAGTATAATCACGTGGTTATACTATTTCTTTTTTAAAAAAATTGGAAACAATGAGTATAGCAGGGCGGCTATACTTATCTTTTTAAAAAAAATTGGAGAAAATCAAGTACAATGGCCCAGCTATACTATTTGTTTCAAAAAAAAATTAAAAAAATGAGTATAGTTGGTCGGCTATACTATTTATTAAGAAACAATTTGAAAAAACACAATACAGTTGAACACCTATACTCTTTCTTTTAAAAAAACTAGAAGAAAAAAAATCCAGTATACTCGGGTGGCTATACAATTTCTATTAAACAAAAATTGAAAAAAAAAACGAAGCATCGCCGTGCGGTTATACTATTTCATTTTGAAAAATTAGGGGAAAACCCTGTATAGCCGGACGGCTATATTATTTCTATTTAAAAAATTGGAAAAAACCGAGTCTAGCCGGGCGGCTATACTATTTCTATTTTAAAAAAAATTTAAAAAACCGAGTCTTGCCGCGCAGCTCTACAATTTCTTTTTAAAAAATAGGGCTCGTATAGCCGACCGGCTATACTATTTCCTTTTAAAAAAATTAAAAAAACCGAATATATCCTCATGGCTATATATATCTTTTAACAAAAAGTAGAAAAAAGAGACGGCTATACTATTTCTTTCAAAATATTTTTAAAATCCAAGTATAGCCGAACGGCGATACTATTTCTTTTTAAAAAAAATGAATAACCGAGTATAGCCGGCGTCTATACTATTTTTTTATAAAAAATATTAATTAATTACATTATATTTAAATGGTATAGCCACCCGGATATATTATTTAGTTAAAAAAATATGAAAAAAATGACCCTCCTAGTTGCATTAGTTTATACTTTATAGATATTAATTTGGTTTACCTCGCGGCTATAATAATAAAATATGTACATGTCTTATTTGGAAAAAATTTGGCAAATTATAACTCAAAAGTTCAGCCACTATATAATACTTTAATATAATTTATTTAAATTTTTTAATATTTATTATTTGGATTCAATAATATGTGATAATTAGTTGTATAATAAGTGAATTTTTTGTGTATACTTGTTTTTTATGTGTATAATACGTGAATTTCATGTGTATAATTATTTAATTTTCAACATATATTATTTGTATTAAACTTAAAAATCATCTATACTATTTATTTCCAAAAAAAAGGGAAAAAACAGAGTATAGCTGCCTAGCTATACTATTTCTTTATTAAAAAAAAAAATTTAAAACCGAGTATAGCCGGCTATACTATTTCTTTTTGAAAAATTAGGGAAAACCCTTTAAATAAAATTGGAAAACACCCTGCATAGCGGAGCGGCTATACTATTTCTTTTTAAAAAAAAATTTAAAAACCTAGTAGAGCCAGGGGGCTATACTATTTCTTTTAAATAAAAAATTGAAAACCCAAGTGTAGTCGCACAGCTATAATATTTCTTTTAGTATTGAATAAGATAATAACTTAATTTGGAAGAATTTTATATTATCACGTAGTGCTAATTTCTTCATTTTTTTTGTTTTTGTTTTGACAATGCGATATTTTAAATTATAAGAAGGACATTCGAATTTATGTGTCAGAAAACGTGCACAATAATTATGGTACACAATTTCTATATCTAATTGGAATATATAATTGTAATAATGATGTTGTCATATATCTAATTGGAATATATAAAAAATTACTAATTTTCTCACTTCTTGCTACACAATTTATTAAACATGCTACATTGACAAATATTGGTGGATACAAGAGATAACATGACTCGAACACCATACAATTACACCCCATTATCCCAAACACATTCCAAGTTCGAACCGCCTCATCCGCGGCTGCAGTGGCCACAGTGCATCCATCTGGGGTCTGAAAACATAAACACCTTAAGTTACAAACAATTAGAATGTGTAAATGTAACTACCATATGAAGTTGCCATGAAAATTTATTCCAAATGAAAATCAATCCATGAAATCAAATACACAAACATAATTGAATTCGCCAAAGTGCAAATCAAAGTCCAAATTAGTACCTGTGTCATGAAGAGAACTCTGGAGGTATGGGTATGGCCAGTGAGCTCTGCCATAGGAACACTGAGTTTCAAAGAGCAATTGCAAGAATGTTGCTGCTGCTCCAGTCTGGTAAATTCAAGTAGAAATTATCTACAATACCGGGAGCGTCCAACGTTCTCTCTGGACCCTGCAAAATCAAATTGAAAGAATTAGAACAGCCACACAGAAAAATCAATATGATCATCATTACAGTCACAATCCTAAGAAAAATTAGATTCCCTTATACGATGATCACTACACACACTACATATTCTCATCATTTCAGGCACTATACAGGCAGATTTACATTCTCTTAAATCTAGCATTACCTATACCTTAGGAATGAAGGAAGTTGATGAGGTTGCACCCCAAAACAAATTGGCAATGGCGAAGTAGTCCAACTCCTTATAAGCCCTTGCAAGGTTTTCTAACTTTCCAATGTGGGACATTGTCACCTTCACATTCACAAGGAATTCAAGCGTCCACAATCCAAATTCAAGTATGATGATATTAATTAGTGCAATTATACCTTAGGAATCCTTTGACAGGGCTTGGTAGATTTGGCCTTATGAAGAGGTGGTGAAAGCAATCTCCTTGGAATGGCTTCAACTGGGGTTGGCAGTTTGAAAAATTAGACAAATTGAAAAATGTTTCGACATCCAGTTGTATCTACAAAATCAATGAACATGGTGCTTCAAGAAAGTACTAAAATTTCAATAACACAATCGAGTGGTCAAATGATATCGGATTCAAATGAGTTTTTGTAGAGATGATCTTTGAATGAATATCTAAAACATAGAAAGTTTGGATTAGTGAAATACAATGCGAATTAGGCCCACAAAGGTGTCCATCAAATAAGCTAATTTGAGAATGCTCTCTCTCTCTCTCTCTCTCTCTCTCTCTCTCTCTCTCTCTCTCTCTCTCTCTCTCTCTCTCTCTCTCTCTCTCTCTCTCTCTCTCTCTCTCTCTCTCTCTCTCTCTCTCTGGGGGAGGAAGCCATTGTTCTTCCTCTCCTCTCCCCTCTTTCTCTTACTCCCTCTCTTCTCCCCTTATTGTCAGAGACAAATGGTTTTCCCTCATAGGCGATTGCAATTTGTTATGATTTTCCTCCAACCATCATAGGCGATTGCGTCTCAGCGGTGGATCTCTATCTGCGTTTTCGGCGTCGGATCTCTACCACCATCTTTTTGCGGTTTCTTTATGTTCGGAATAAGTCACAGAGACTCTGTAGGTTATCTGTGTAGTTTTCACCTCTCCTTTGTGAGAGCTTTTTATCTCTCCTGTGTGAGAGTTTTATTTGTATTGTTATGGCTTGGTTTTTTCAAGCTTTATCTAATTTTGATTATTCTGAGTTTGCAATCTTAGTTGGGATGCCTATGCCAGAGTTTATTCGATCCTGCGTGATCGTTAGTGGAGGCGCACCAGATTGTCTTAATTTTGTTGTTCGACCGCTCCGTTATTGTAATCGCCCTTTGTGGCTAGTTTGTTTTGGCCACTTGTGGCTAATGGCTTTTTTGGCTGAATTATGAATGCAATCCTAGAATTTCTCAACAAAAAAAAAAGATACGTGGGTTATTAGTGAAAGAATCCAACGACAAGCAAAATGGCATATAGTACGAACTCCAGTAAAATACTTGAAAATACCACATTCGTTAGGTCATTATGACTCATCGATTGGTTGGTCATTGTCATTTGTTCATTAAATAGTGTAGTATCATTAATTTTAAGGGTTTAATACACCGGTACCGTATATTTGGTCTAATACAATATTTGATACCATAGAATGTCTTCCCAATATGACAACAAAGTTGGAGCATTCCATTTAAAACCAATTTAATGAGTGTGAGGCGTATAATCACTACACCAAATTGAAGTTTTTACGACTTGATATTTACGGCACACTTTTTGTACGTGTCGTTAATAACTGACATTTACGACATATGACAAAGCACGCCTTAAAAAGATAGTAAAGCGTGCCGTTAATAACTAATATTTACGGCATACGAAAACATGCCTTAAAAAAGGTACTTTTGTGTTTTTTAATGGTGTGATTGTATATATGCCGTAAATGCACATTTTTTTTAATATATAATACGGCATGAGACTGAGTATGTCGTAATTTGTAATTCAAATTTTTTATTTTTTCCCAAAACCCCGATATTTTTTATTTTTTTATTTTTTCATTCATACGTGAACAGGCCCTCTTCACTTCTCTCTCCATCTCCATCTCACAAGTTCTGGATTCTCTCTCACAATTTCTGGATTCTCTCTCTGCGTGTCGTTAATCAAGAGCTCCAGTTCCTCATTGGCGAGAAGACTATTGCTGGAGTCCTATTGCTTCAAAGCTGAATTCTCAGTGACATTCCAAAGGTACGATTCTCTAAAGCCCTAACCCCCAATGCTTGATTATGAGTTTTCTTATAGCTTTAGAGTTGATTTGAATTCTAGATTTGCTTATCTTGATTTTATTGGGGTTATTTTTGTAGATTCCATGTGAATGTTTGATTATATTTGATTGAATTTGGTTTCCATTTGCATGTCTGATTTGATTGTATTGAATCTAGATTCCCTGTGTATTTCTAATTAGATTTTGATTGAATTCAATCGAAATCAGCCTAGGTTAGGGTTTGAGTCATCAAGACCCATTACACGGTTGGTCCCATTTGGTGCTTTGAGTCAACTTGGTGTGTGATTGATTTTGCTTATTAGCTTCTCTCTCTCTCTCTCTCTCTCTCTCTCTCTCTCTGTGTCTATTTATGCAGAATAAAAGTTAGCATGAGTTGCTTGCCTTAGCATTTCTTTCTTTTGTGTTTCTTCTTTTGCTTTTTGCTTTTTGTGTTTCTTCTCTCTGTTTATGCAGAATAAAAGTTAGCATTAGTTGAGTAGTAATGACTGATAAAAACGAAAGTCATTGTCAGTAGCAATGACTGGTTTTTCGGTCCTTGAGTAGGTTTAAACAGGTTAAGTTAACAAGTTGTTCACTAGCAATGGATAAAGAACGGGCATACTTCCCAAGGTTATATTCTTAACTCTATTTTACTCAGATGTAAGATGTCTTTGTGATCGTCCAAATAAAATTACTAGTTTTCATTTGTAGAAATTCACTAGTGTATCAAAATGGAGCACGGAGTTTTGTCAATACAATTCAAGCTAAGGAGGAGAATCCAGAAAAAATAATATGCCCTTGCAAGGATTGTCTAAACATGCGCTACCAAACTTCCAATGTAGTGTATGATCATTTAATTGAATTTGGATTTGACCCTACGTACAATAATTGGGTTTGGCATGGAGAAATGTCAAATTCATCTATTCATCATGAAGATGTAGAAATGCCTGATATGTATAGAATGTATAGAGATGCTTATTTCCAAGATGATGGTGTTGTGGAACCAACACATGAAAGAGAACAAATAGATCGTAAGTATCCTAGTTTTGCATCGGATCCACGCAATCTTAGATTGGCCCTTTCAACTGATGGGTTTAATCCCTTTGGTGATCTTAGTTCTAGATATAGTTGTTGGCCGGTGATGCTAGTTACTAATTACAATCTTCCCCCTTCATTATGGCCAAGGTCTTGCGCTATTTTCCTATAGTACTCAGACTTAAAAGGATGTTTAGATCACCTGAAAAGGCTAAACAGTTACTTTTCCAATCATAAAAGTCAGGATGGCAAGATGAGACATCCGGTTGATTCACTTGCGTGGGAACAAATAGATCGTAAGTATCCTAGTTTTGCATCGGATCCACGCAATCTTAGATTGGCCCTTTCAACTGATGGGTTTAATCCCTTTGGTGATCTTAGTTCTAGATATAGTTGTTGGCCGGTGATGCTAGTTACTAATTACAATCTTCCCCCTTCGTTATGCATGATGAAGGATAATATGATATTTTCATTATTAATCTCGGGCCCCAAGCAGCCAGGAAATGATATAGATGTATATTTAGAGCCACTAATTGATGATTTAAAAGAGCTTTGGAACAATGGGGTTGAGGTGTACGATTCATTTAGTAAATCCATGTTCAATTTGAAAGCTATTTTGATGTGGACCATAAGTGATTATCCTGCCTATGGAAATTTATCCGGGCATCCCACAAAGGGTAGAGTAGCATGTCCAATATGTGGTGTTAACACATGTTCTCTATGGCTAGACTCTAGTCATAAGTTTGCATTCATGGGCCATAGACGGTTTCTTGTTCACAATCATCCTTTTCGAACAACTGAAGAATGGTATGATGGAAAGGAAGAACATGGGGTTAAGCCTAGAATGTTAAATGGTTTATAAGTTGTAGATGCTGTCAAGAATTGGGAGAATGATTGGGGAAAAGTAGGAAAAAAGAGAAAGCATGGAAAGAAAAGAAAGAAGAAGAATGCAGATGCTATTTGGCCGTGGAAAAAGAAATCAATCTTCTTTGATCTACCTTATTGGGAGGTTAGAAATTTCAAATAGCATTATTTACATGTCATATCTGTTTTACTTTACCCTTTCATTTTTCAATGTGATTTCATATGTACTTATAAAACCTTTTTCTGTTTTAATATTTCAGACTTTACTTTTGCGTCACAATTTAGATGTGATCCACAAAACCTGAAGATAATGTGCACTTTGTGCCACTTGGACCAGATTGTTGGAAAGTTTGGGTCCTTGAGGTACTTGTAGGAGGCCAACCCTTATTCCGGCCAACACGTGAATTTTTTCTTATTGAAGATGTAGTTCTCAGTACAACCGCATGGCCAATCAAGTTCATCTCCTCCAACTAGCTCTTGATTGAGGTAACCACTATATTAATTTGTAAAAAAATTGGGATTAATTTACTGATTGCTTAGTATGTGATTTAATGGATTTACTCATCTATTTTCTTTTGTTATGGGTGATGTTTCAGCAAGAAGAAGCTTGTTTGTGGAGAGAAAATGGTCAACTACACTTACACTCGCTGCTGCTTAGTATCTTTTGCTTTCTATGGAGATGAAGTTGCTTAGGTCTGGATATTTGAAAGTTAGCGCATCTATTGAAATTGCTTGGTCTTTTTCTTTTGCTCTTTTGACATTAGGTGCAGCAGTCCATCCATCAAATGTTATGATTTTGTATTTGAAATTTCAATTGATTAATCCAATCACATGGAGTTTAATCCCTTCATTAATCGCATTCTTATTTGTTATATATTTTATTCTTTAATACTGAGTTGGATGGCATTAGTTTTATAAATTTTGAGTGTCAATAGGTAACAGGTACTAAATGAATGATACAATGAAC